GGTGACATCTTTGTGTCGACTCTAGAATTGATTTTATGTTTCATTTATGTTATTTTATATCTTTTCTTTAAAACCGTTCATTTATTTTCTTCCTAAAATCATACTTGGATCTTAAAAAAAAAATTCTTATCATATTTATTCTTACTATTGTGATTATAGACGGTCTTTATCATTTACTTTAGACCATTTGCATGTTTAATCCATCTAAATTTGGAACGTTGTGTTTGAAGATCAAATAAACTTCGAATCACATCTTTCTTAATCCATCTAAATTTGGAACGTTGTGTTTGATTTTTTTTTTCTCATAATTTACACTTAAAACTTCTAAATTTTCTCGAATTCTGTAAAAAGGAAAGTTAAATTAATAGTTCTCAAGTCTTCACACCATTCTCTTTGGACTTCATCTTTTTCGATGTGCAATTTTCTATCAAAAAATATCTTTTTGTCCCTTATTTGTTTGTTCATTTTTTTTGTTTTATCTTGATTTACTTGAAACTAAGACAAGATTTAAAACAACCGTTCTAGTGGAAGAGCATGAAGAGGGACGTGGCCTAGTTTGTAAGCAAATGTTTAGTTTGCCAACAAGTGAAAGCTCCTAGACAAAAGATGGCGGGATTGTTGCAGCCCCTAAGTATACTAGAGTGGAAATGAGAAAACATAGCAATGGACTTCATAGTAGGATTACCCAAAACGTTTTAAGGCTATACAATGATCTGGGTAATTTTCGACAGGTTGACCAAGTTGACACACTTCTTACCTGCGAAAGCCACATATATAGTTGACAATTGGGTACAACTATACGTGGAAAAAATAGTAAGATTACATGGAGTTCCAGTGCCTATAGTGTCGGATCGAGATCCACGCTTCACGTCAGCATTTTGGCGCAGACTTCAAAAAGTGTTGGGTACTCGCATCGACTTTAGTACCGTCTTCCACCTCCAAATAGAGTGCTTAAATCAAATTTTAGAGGATATGTTACGCGCTTGCTTATTAGATTTTGAGGGAAGTGAGATTCCAAACTCAGCCGGTAATAACCAAAATTAAATAAACAAATAAAAATAATTATAATAAGGCAGTTAAAATAATAATAATAATAAATAAATAAATAATAAAAACAACATCTCCCCACTTCTCTCCCCTAACTTCTCATCCCTTCCTACAATTATCTCTCCTCAACCATCCTGACGCCAGAAAGTAACCGTTGCTGCAAAAAAAAAAAAAAAAAACATGTCAGATTTATTTGAGAAAAAAAAATGAGGATGACCTTTACCCAGTTGAGATTGCTGACGTGAAGATAGATCTGATCAATAAGGTATGTATTAAATCTTCCTTTTCTTTTATCCTATTTTTTTTGTTAGAAATCACAACCAATTATAGTTACATCTTTGTTGAATTATTACCATGATCCATCTTTTAGTTAGAAATTAAATGTCAAATCATTCTAATCAATCATGTCATATTAGTAATATTATTTTAAATTTTTATAAATAGATTAAAGATAGAATGTCCAAGAAAACTTGAGATAAGGAAATAGGAAATACTGAGATAAGGAAGGATTTGGAAATAGAGATCCACTGTAAATTTGGAATATATGAGAACATAATTAAAAGGCAACCGATAAAAAAAGATTAGGGAATTAAAAACAGAAACTAAATATGGAGGGAAAGGTAAATACAGATAACAGTAAAGCTAAGAATAACTTTGCTGTATCTACTTTTTATACCACGGTAACCATGAAAAATTAGATTTTTAATAAAAATATAATTATAGATATATAACATTTCAAGACTTCTAACAATGGACCAATGTAAATTAGAGAAATAATGTTGTAGAATTCAAACCCGAAACTAATGTCATGGGCTCATATAGGTTGACCCGGATTTCAAATGACGGAATCAAACTTTCATTAAAGATATATTCGTGACAACGACTTAAGCTAGCCAGGTAAGTGACCTTACTATCGGCATGGTTATATTTGATGTTGACATGTGCCCTGTGGTTCTGTACGTGTCATATATATTGACATGTGTGAATTGTCTGTGGATCGATATGCTTCCTATATGTTATGTTATGTTATCATATGTGGTTTGTATGATAATAATTATGGTACGATGTGCTCAAGGATATGTTTGAGAGAGGGTACGATGAGGATGCACAAAACGAAATGTAACGATAGGAGTAAGATACGTTCATGAAACGTTAGAGTTAGGTTACATACCGGAGTGCTATGGATAGGAGAGATTGATGAAAGAATACGGTTAGGTTATGGGTAGAAAGAGATATGTTTGTGATAGATTGATAGAACGATAGCGTTAGGATACGTTCTTGTGACGATATGACTAAGGTACGTCACGTAATGATATGTCTGTGATAGGTATAAGAATGTTAAGGCTATGGTAAGTTAAAGAACGATATGACTATGAAGTGTTTACGTTATGACTTGGTTATGATATGATACATTGTATGCTAGATTATTGTGCTTAAGTACGAAATCATGTGAACGTGAATGTATGTTATTTATGCTGCTTAGTTGATGTGATATGAATGTATGTGACGATGTGTGGCCCTTGTACGATTATGGCTTGTGTATGAGTATTGGATTGTAACTGAATGAATTGTAATGAAATACGGTAAATTGCATGATACATAACGCCGCTAGGAATATGTATGATATGTAACGAAATGAGAATGAGAATGACATGTAAGCATGAAAACGTGACACGGGGTTATGTTCATTAAATGATGACTGTAGAACTAGTGGGACCTCATGCATATTGTGTGATCATGCATTTGGGGGGATACCCCTATCCCCATCACGAGGGTACGGACGCGAACATCCAAATGACAGGACAACGATCGTTATGCTCTGCATAGCGCTGCCGTGACGGTTTTAGTTTTAACGGGTCCCGGTGGGCCCCTAGAGCATGCCCACCAGCTAGGGACAGTGGCCCAGCGGTGTGCGAACTAGCTGGTGAGTCCATACTCGCACGTATGAGCTGCGTGTAGAGTATATGGAACACGTCCACGATTACCTGTTAGGATTACACCGTAGGGAAAACGAAACGAAACGAAATGAAATGAAATGAAACGAAAGATAGGTTCCATCATTTTATTGCATGTGATTGTTGCATTTAACCCCAACAGTGGGGTCACTTACTGAATATTTCTTTAAATACTCAAGCCATGTGCTACTACATTTTTCAGGTTAAGGCAAGGCATTCCTGTACGGCTGACGACGACATCGCAACTCGAGATCATGGCACATGCATAGGATAGTGACATTTATTTTCTTAGACTTAGGATAGAATAGGATGTTTTATATTTAAACATTTATTTATTTTATTTCGAGTCTTTTGTTGTGTCGTTTTAAAGATGTTTTCGAAACACGTAAGTCCATGGCTGTGTTTTAAGATAAAGGTTATGTTTTATGGAATTTAAATGAAGTCTTCCGCATTCAATGTTTATGGTATGTATACAGTAGCGACCTTAAATTAAGTAGAAAATTTCGGGTCGTTACACCGCCTGATGGAACTCTCATATAATAACAACTTCCAAGCCACTCTAGGAATGACACTGTTTGAGGCCCTGTATGGAAACTGTGTAGGTCCCCACTATGATGGAACGAAGTCGGTGAGAGAGAGTTAGTAAGACCCTAGCTGGTTCGAGTCACCAACGAGGCTGTCCAGAAAATTCGAGCGAGGATGCGTACCGCTTAAAGTAGACAGAAAAGCTACGCCGATGTAAGGCGTAGAAGCTTAGAGTTTGAGATAGGGGACCTAGTATTCCTCAAGGTAGCACCTATGAAAGGTGTCTTGAGGTTCAGACGTCAGGGCAAGTTAAGTCCTAAATTCATCAGATCATTCGAGATACTAGAATGAATTGGTCCAGTAGCGTATAAGTTAGCCCTACCTCCCGCCCTCTCAAGAGTGCACAATGTATTTCACGTGTCGATGCTGAGGAAGTACATTACATTACATACCCTATCCATGTAATAGACTATGAACCACTCAAACTCAATGAAGATCTGAGTTACCAGAAAAAACCAATAAGAATCTTAGTCAAAGAAGTAAAAACGCTAGACAACAGGGACATTGTGTTTGTTAAGGTGTTTTGGCAGAACCCCACACTAAGAAGGCCACGTGGGAGCATGAGGATGAGATAAGAGAAAAATAATCCCGAGTTAGTACCAGAATTTGAGATTTTCAAGGAAGAAAGTTGTTTTTAGGGGTATATAGTGTAACGATTGAGAAATTAATTAAAAAAAAAATCCCTAGGTCACTAGCGAGGATGAGAAAATTAATCTTCGGATCCCCCATACAAACATGACGTCTGAGCATCGTCAAGACGCCTCCCAGCCTTCAGCGACGCTCCCAAAACACCTGTAGAAGAGAAAAACAGGGAGGAAAGAGGAAGAGAGAGTAATTGACAAAGTTTTCCGGTGAGGAATCTGAAAAAGAAACCCACGAACGAAATAACCCAAAACAGATGTCAAAACACCCGAAATACACCGCTAAAGAGATCCCCGATGACCCTACGGCCATCTACGAGGAATTTGACAATCCTTTGAGATGAATTGTCATCGGAAAGAGATCGGAAAACCCATAAACGAAACTTCGTGATCTGTCATCCTAAACACCTACAAGCCACGATGTCAGAATTTAGTGCAACTTATTTTAGTTTGAATTAGTTATGGAATATATATGATATTAGTAATTTTGAAGAATATATTAGTTAGAAAATATATCTTAGATATTCGTAATCAGTTGAATTTGAATAGTAGTATATTTTATTTTATTATCCGGATTTAGTTAGTTTATATTTTCTTTGTAGATATTATTTAGTATTTCGTATCCTATTTATAGGTTGTGAATATCAATGAAGATTGAACATTCCATTCCAATTTTTTTTCTTATTCTTAAATCTGTATTCTTTCGTTGAGTAATAATATTTTCATATCTATGCACACTTTTGAGTGGTAGATATTGCATCAGTTGGTATCAGAGCCAAGTTGGTACGGTTTGATATTATTACTCAACGAGATGAATAGTGGGAGTGCTTCTATGGGTGTAACTATGGAAAAGCTGGTTGGCAATAACTATAGTTATTGGAAGTTATGCATGGAAGCTTATCTACAAGGGCAAGATTTGTGGGATTTAATTGAAGGTGATGACACAGACATTCCAGCCGATACTCCACAGAATGCAAAATTACGCCAACAATGGAAGATCAAATGTGGAAAAGCCTTGTTTACCTTGCGGACTTTGATTAGCAAGGAGTATATTGATCATGTTCGTGATTTAAAGTCACCAAAGCAAGTATGGGATACACTTCAAAAGTTGTTCACTAAGAAAAATACCGCTCGACTGCAATTTCTAGAGAATGAACTAGCTATGGTAACGCAAGGTAATTTTTCTATTGAAGAATATTTTTTGAAAGTGAAAAATCTATGTTCTGAAATTTCAGAATTAGATGCTGAGGAGCCAGTGAGTGATGCTCGATTACGGCGTTATCTTATTCGTGGATTACGGAAAGAGTTTATGCCCTTTGTTTCCTCAATACAAGGGTGGGCAAACCAGCCTACCGTAATTGAACTGGAGAATCTTTTTTCCAATCAGGAAGCATTGATTAAGCAAATGACTAGCAGCAACGAATTTTCCCCAAAGTTAGAAGGTGTGTTGTATGTCAAAGATCAAAGTAGACAGAACTTTCACTCAAGGTCTTCATCTAGCAATGAGAATCAATTCAGAAGTGAGGAGTCGTCAAAGAAGCCATTTAAAGCTTGTTACAGGTGTGGAAAACCAGGCCACTTTAAACAAGATTGTCAGGCGAAAGTGGTGTGTGATTGTTGCGGAAAGCTAGGCCATATTAAGCCAAATTGCTGAGTCAAAAACCAGGAATCAGAAGCAAATGCTGTACATGAAAGTAAAAATTCTTCAGATCCAACTTGGGAAGATTGCTTAACCACTGAGGTTCTTGACCAGCCAACAAACATGGCTTCAGCCGTATATCAAGATGATGTCTCTACAGGTGATCAAAATTCTAATTCCACTACTTACGCTTCTGAGTTTGATTTTCTCCAAATTTCGCATCTGGACTCTCTCTTTTTCTCTGATGCCAATTCTGTCGCCCCTGATGACCCATCTGTTTATTCCACGGCCTTGGATTTGGGATTTGACGAAAGTGAAGTTGTCGAGCTAACATTTGATGATCTTGACGGTCTTTACCTTCCCTCTGAGGCTGACGATTTCCTCATCTTGGAGAATTTGGATCAAACTACCAATTCGCAGGATTCGGCTACTGATGCTCCGCCCCAGCCTTACCCAGAAATAGCTGCACTGCTTGATGATGATGATGATGATTTATCACGATTTGGTTATGATGTTGAGGACATGGAGGAGAATTTCGTAGTTCAGGCAAATTTGTGTGAAGAAGGGGAGGATGGTTCAACTGATAATAAGTTTAGTGTGGCTAAAGATTTTGAGAGGGTGACAGGAACCCAGAATATTGTTAATAACAAATCTTTTGGCGACGACATTTTTGAGGATGCAGACGTTGACCATGTGGAAGATGATGTTGATAAGCCACGAACTCGGCGGCTTTTGGATGATCGATTTGACACCCTCTTAAGTCAGGACTATGCATCTAGTGACAATGGTGACGGTGCTTGTGATGAGCATGATGGTTGGGTAGCTGAAGAAGATGAGTCCCTTGCTCAGAAGCTCAAGCATGCCCTTGGTGAGCATAGTAAGGATGACTTGGACCTTGACCAAGAATATAAAACTCCTGCGGGTATATTGAGTGGGAAAAAAGGATTAGAAGATCAAGAGCTTTTGCAGTCTGCCAGAGATGTAATTCACCCGTGTATGGAGTATGCTGAGTCTGCACAAGTTGAAATGAATTATTACTCTTTGTCATTAGAATTGGAACAATCAAAAGCTCAGATTCAATCATTGGAGGGTCATATCAGTAATTTGGATCCTGCCGTTAAGGACTTGGAAGAGGTCATATTCATGAAACCAGATTATGCTGATGCTCACTGTGATTTAGCCTCCGCTTTGCATGCAATGGGGGAAGATGAGCGAGCAATTGAGGTGTTTCAGAAGGCAATCGACTTGAAGCTTGGCCATGTAGATGCTTTGTATATTTTGGGTGGACTTTACTTGGACTCAAATGGTGAAGGAGCTTTTATAGTTGTGGAAGCCTTAAAGTTTAAGACCATTGGAGAGAAGACTGTTTTGAGACCGGAACTGTCAAATGCTCTCAAAATTAGATCTTTTAAGAAGATTACCAGATTGAATCGGTATGAAGTGGAACTTATTAAGAAGGAAATCAGTGAAAATGATGTGTCAGTGTCTTATTTAGGTGGTGGCGTGCTTAAAAAGTCCACACGCAAGCCTAGCTGGAAGAAATTCTTCGTAGATTATTTTGTTCGAGAGAAAGTGTTAACGCAAGATGTTGAATTGCAGGAAATACATACTAATGAGCAAGTTGCAGACATATTTACTAAGGCCCTTGCCAAAGTGAAATTTGAAGTTTTTCGTAAAGGCTCTCGAAGTTATTGAGAAATAAGTTTGCACTGAGAGGCTGTCAGAATTTAGTGCAACTTATTTTAGTTTGAATTAGTTATGGAATATATATGATATTAGTAATTTTGAAGAATATATTAGTTAGAAAATATATCTTAGATATTCGTAATCAGTTGAATTTGAATAGTAGTATATTTTATTTTATTATCAGGAGTTAGTTAGTTTATATTTTATTTGTAGATATTATTTAGTATCTTGTATCATATTTAAAGGTTGTAAATATCAATGAAGATTGAACATTCCATCCCAATTTTTTTTCTTATTCTTAAATCTGTATTCTTTCGTTGAGTAAGAATATTTTCATATCTATGCACACTTTTGAGTGGTAGATATTGCGTCACACGAAACTTCATGAAAAGGAAGCATAAGATCTAACAGAAGGATTGAGGAGAACAGCGAGGAAGAATGCCAGAAATGGTCACGGGAAGGAGAGAGAAACAAAATAAAAAAATCACGCAGGAAATCAGGCGAAGAAGAAAGGATTCGTCGGATCCGGGTCGAACCGGAATTGAGTGCCCGCGACCCAACCCGCGTCTGCATCCAGCCCACTTGCAGCGACCAAAATCCTTCCTCGACCCAGTAACCAAATACCAGTCCAGCCCGTAACTCGCGGACGCAACTAGCGGCTACCTCTGCAAACCCTCAGCCCAACCAAACTAGCCCGCAGCCTAACTCACTCGCGGCCCAGCCTGCGAATAGAAACCAGTCAATAGCCCAGCCCTTAATGCGACTCGCAAGTCGACCCGAGACGCTTGCGTCGACATGGGCTGCTCTAGTAATGCCATGTGTCAAGCCGTGGCGCAAGCAGCCCTTCAGCTTGAGCGGCACAGCGGTGCTCCGGTGCGGCTTCGGCAACTAGCGGTGGCGTATTTGGTTAAGCTTTCCATTTTTACCTGATTTTCACGGTTTTTACCTTCCAGGGCCTGTTTTCAGCCCCGATTAAGGTAATCGAGACCATTTTAGCGCCGTATTTCACACTTTTAGTTGGATTATTAATTAAAATATGAAATATTAACGAAAGGTGACGAACGGTGCAATTGGAAGTGAACCCCCGAAACCTTTGGAGCAGCTCTCGAGGAACGGGAACTTATGTTTAGCTAATTAGGGAGTACTTCGACTAAGGCCAACCAAGTAAGTGGCCTTACTATAGGAAAGACTAAAAATGGTAAGAATTATGATGATGTATGGACTGTGTCGTACGATGTCGTATGATAGTATGTGATGATGTATGAATTATGACGATGTATGAGTTGCATCGTATTATGCCATATACTAGTATATGATGATGTATGAATTATGATGGTGTATAAGTTATGATGATGCATGAGTTGTGATGCTTGACGATGTGCGTAGTATATATATATTTCGATGAATGACGTACTTGATATGCTTGATGCACTTTATAGCAATATGATGAGTATGATGATTGTGTGACGTTTACCTTCATATGATGATGTTTTTCATATTGAGCATGTTATATGATGATGAGTGTCAGATTGCATCATGTTGTTAGATCAACATATGACACAACCCTAAGAGCATGAAAATGATATTAATATAAATATCCATGAGTATGTGTTACTTAGAATAACAAAAAGATAAGACTAGAGAGTCGTATCAAAAGAGATATTACGATGGATTTAGAGGGACCTCATGCAAATTGTATGTTCATAAGCATAGGGCTACTTCCCCTAAAGATGATGAGTGCGGATGCGCACAATATGATGATGAGTGCGGATGCGCACAACATGATGATGAGTGCGAATACGCATCGTATGATGGAGGGTGTTCATGAGGCGCATGACACTCTTCTAGAAATGTGAATGCTACAATAGTTTGTTTGTTCTCGCCTAAGCTGCACCAATCCTACTTCTTCTCTTCTTCGAGTAAGATATCTCTACTTACATGATTTTTTTTATATTGAGGATCATATCGCCTATGCTCCTTGGTCCCGTCCTCCATGCTAAAATACACCATCTTTTGGCTTTTATCATCAAATTTCTTGATATGTGGCCTTGTAGTCGTAACATATGTTGTACAACCAAAACCTCTCAAAGTGAGGTTTCTTACTGCAGCATAATTCGTGAGGGGTGCGAGTGTCCAATACCTTTGTTGGCAAATGGTTTAGAAAACAAATCACCAAATGGTTTAGAAAACAAATCACATGTCGCGCACTGCCTCACCACAAAAAATTGTTGGGACTTGCATATTTTTTTAGTAAGCTTCATGCAATATTCATTACGATGCAATTTCTTCACACAGCCATATCATCTTGTTTTTTTAGTGTACGATGCGGTGAGGTGACTTTCAATGTCTTCCTCTTCACAAAACTTTGAGAAGTTTTGGGATAAGAACTCGCCACCTCAGTTACTGCACAGGTTTTTTAGCTTATAATCAAACCCACTTTCAACGAGTCTTTTGAACTTCATAAATGCACATAAGACCTCTCCTTTTTCTCTCAGCATGTACACCCACATCTAACAAGTGTAATCATCAACAAATAAGAGAATTTATTACCAGCAATCAATGATGGAGTGATCATGCCACATAAATCTACATGCACTAATTGCACTGGTTGTCGTCATGAAAATTGGTTTGAGCTGGAAATGACAATATTGCTTGCTTGGAGACTATGCAACTTTTACACAATTAGTTCGAGTGTATGATTTTTGATAGCCCCATAACTATCTTTTTCTCTACCATCATTTTGAGTGCATGAAAATTCACATGTCTAAGTTTTGCATGTCATAACAAAGTTGGATCTATGAGTATCATCAATAAAGAAGTGTGATGGCGAGTGTCTAATAGTATCTTATATAGGAGTTTTTGCCATTGTTTTACTTCCATCAACAAGACTTCTCTTCTATCAAATATCTTGAAGAACGAACTTACTAACTCCATCTTGCTGTCTTCTTTTGTAATTTGATTAAGGCTGATAATATTACTATTCAAACTAGGGATGTAATATAACTTATTCAGTAGAC